CAGGTCGTAGGCAGAATTATTTCTATGACTCCCGTAATCGGAAATGTGGCTAGAATCATGTCAAAGTTCTGTTACATGGAAATTGAAAGTAGAATCGGGTGGAATAATTCCATTTCAGGGTATAAACCCGTCGAAGTTTTATCAGAGTTAAAGTTCTGGTTAGAAAATGTCACTCTGATTAACTGTCGTAAATTAAGTCACTACAGTAAATCGTCTGCTGTTATATACTCAGATGCTAGTAATATTGCCGCCGGTGCATATACCGTTGAGTTAGAAAATAAGATTTTCCATAAGATGTGGACATGTAGTGAAATGGTGCAAAGCTCCACCTGGAGAGAGCTTAAAGCAATAGAGTTAGCCCTATTTTCTTTTAAAAATAGTTTCACGGGAAAAAATATAAAGTGGTTTACTGACAATCAAAATTGTGTCAAAATTGTTAATTCGGGAAGTATGAAAGAAAATCTTCATTTTATAGCAAAATCGATTTTTTCATTTTGCATTCAGAAAGGAATATCAATTGATATTCAATGGATTCCCAGAAAAGAAAATGAAAAGGCTAATGATATCAGTAAAATGTTTGATTTCGAGGACTGGGGAGTCACACATATATTTTTCAATTTTTAAAATGATATGCGGGGTCCTTATTCGATTGACAGATTTGCTAGTGTCGAAAATAGAAAAGTTTTGAGATTTAATTCCTTATTTTGGCAACCTGATTCTGAAGCAGTTGATGCGTTCTCTCAAGTTTGGACCAATGAAAATAATTGGCTGGTTCCACCAATTAATCTTGTGATTAGATCGATTAAACACATTATAGCTTGTAAAGCTCAAGGCACGTTAGTTGTGCCTAAGTGGACTTCTGCTGCATTCTGGCCATTGATATTCGATAAACATTTGATTTATCAAGATTACGTAAAAGATGTTACCTTGTGTTTAAAAATACTGATGGTATTTATAAACAAGGTTCTAATACGAATACGATATTCGGAGTTGAACCGTTTGGTTCGCTAGTTTTGGCTGTTTTGCTAGATGCGTCTTAGACATGGCCCTAATATATGTAAATATATTTTAGCAGGCATGGTCTGTTTGTTACATGGCCCTAGTATATGTATATATATATATATTGTAGCAGGCATGGTTTTTTATGTTGACATGGCCCTAGTATCGGTAATGATATTGTAGCAGGCATGGTCAGTTGTTTTACAGTACGTGGCCCTAGTATCTATAATGATATTGTAGCTGGCGTGGTAATATTGAATATTTATATTATATTTTACTCTGTGTATAGATATTTGAAATATGTGAAAAATTCGTTCTCTGTATATGTATATAAAATGTTATTGCAATTTTACGTTTTTCAGATATTTTTTCAGTAGGACAGTGGTCAGAGTTTAATTTACAAGTTGCCTCTAATAATGAGCTGAGCAGTTTGTTCAACCAGTTACCAGATTTCCTTCTTTCATCCAAGGCTGAGAGTACTCAGAAGAAATATAGATATGCCTTCAATTCATGGTGTAAGTGGACTAGTCAATATTCTTTTTCACCATTGCCGGCATCTCATTTGCATATTTCTTTATATTTAATTCATTTGTCTGAAACTGCAAAATCTGTTTCTAAATTAAATGATGCTTTTTACGCCATAAAATGGGCACACACATTAGCTGGCGTTGCTGATCCCAGTGAAAATAATCTAGTTGCATCTGTTCTTGAAGGGGCTCATAGAAAAATAGATCAGTCAGTTATTAAAAAAGAACCTATCACACCACATATTTTGAAAAATATTGTATGTAAATATGCTAATAATACTTATAATTTAAAAGATGTAAGAATAGCATGTATGTGTTTATTAGCCTATGCTGGTTTTTTAAGATTCTACGAGTTAGCTTACTTGAGAAGGTCTGATAAACAGTTTTTCCCTACTTACCTTACACTTTATTTAGTCAAGAGTAAAACTGATGTATATAGGGAAGGGAGAGATGTTGTCATTTCAAAAACAGGGAATGTTACATGCCCGGTAGATGTACTTCAGCGTTATCTAAAGTTAGCTAACATTTCGGAAGAATCTAATGAATTCATTTTTAGATCAATTTGTTATTGTAAATCTTTGAACATATACAAACTTAGAAAGACTAGTCATATTTCCTACACTAGAGCCAGAGAGTTATTGTTATCAGCACTTGACAATTTAGGTCTTGATAAAAGACAGTTTGGCTTACATAGTTTGAGGTCAGGAGGAGCTACTGCCGCGGCACAAGCTGGAATAGATGATCGATTGTTTAAGAAACACGGGAGATGGAAAAGTGATAAAACCAAAGATGGCTATGTTAAAGAGAGAATACAAAACAGATTGTCAGTCTCAAAACATTTAGGCTTGTAATATTTTATTACTATTTTCTATTTTCATTTATTTATTTATATATTTTTTTTTTCTATTTTCTATTTGTCCCTTTCTTTATCATCCGAAGCTTTCTGTGCTGTCGGGGCGAGCTGATAACCAAATAACGGTGTTGAGTTTTTCTTTATAAATGATTTATGTTCGTTTGAAGTTTTGAATAAGAACATAATGCTAAATTCCTCCGCCGTTGTTCAAACGTAACAAGTACTACCTCGATTACAGGTAGAACTTGATATACCGAATAAATAAACTATACCAAATAGGAACATATATTGGAATATTACAGTAAGTAAATTCGATTATATTCCTTTTAACATATACTGACCGACTTTAGAAACGCAAAACTAGATTATTCTTTTTAAATTTTTGAATGAATGTGTCACCGTCAAAAGCAATGAATGCCTGTAACAAACGCCAAAATGATTGTCAGAAAGGTCAACCAATTCTGTTCGACATGTTTTGGATTTCTGTTTTACACCTCCTGTTTTGCCTTAGTTCCATCCATTACAATGGGTTTTGTCAATCATGCGGTTGAAACTTTAGGGCTTTAAATGTTTTACTTCAGTCGATTCTTTGGCAGTTCAGTTTATGGGAAACATTTATGGCATGAATCTGTGCGCAATGGCATTCGGCAATTTGATTAGCAGTTGACGTTGGGGTCGTAAGTATGTTTCGCAAATGACGTTGCGTAATCAAATTCTATTGACGTTGCATTGTCACTACATGTTGATCTGGTCATTGATGGTCAGCAACAAATCCCGTCTACCAGTATCGTTGTCGGAAAGAAAGTAAGACGAGTTTCCGAAGTCAAACTGTATGGCTGCAGCACGTTCACGTTTTCCTGTTCGCAGTATTCTTATGGGCTGATTCAGTTTTTTATTCCTCAGTCTTGGCAATATGGAGATGCAACTTTTTTTACTGATTTAAGAGTGGCCAAGGATTAAAAGAACTGTTTCACGAAGCAAAAAAAATTGAAAAAATCTTTTATGGGTTCCAAATTTCGCTTTAAGAAATTCGTGCGACTTCAAAAATCCGGTATGTTCAATAACCACAGGTAAGTCGGATGTTGATTTTTTCTAAAGAGAAAGAAGTATGGTAAGCATGAATAGTAGATGTAAAAGAATCCAACATGATTTGGTAAAAAAAATCAACAAAATGAGTGTTGCGTTTTTAAGTCAGTCAGTATATATGGTTGGGATTATATCCCCTTTCACATATAGGGTTGGGATTATATCGATCCCCTTTAACATGTAGGTCGGGATTATATCCCCTTTAACATATAAGGTTGGGATTATATCCCCTTTAACATATAGAGTTGGGATTATATTCCTTTATGGATTTCCTCAGATAATGTTCTACAACAGTATTTAAAGATTCACAAGAGTTGCGCTTATGATTATGAGGTATACGGACAGACGAACGGACTAAAAATAACTTCTACGTTAAGAACAGTTATCTCACTGGCAATCCACCACCATCTTCTTATTTTTATATATACAGGGTGATTCCTATATACCACCTCAAAACTTTGTTTTTTTGGGTCTGGATGGGTGATCCTCCTTTGTATTCTTTAATTTTTAGACCATTTTTCTCTATTCTTTATTTATTTTGCCCATTATTCTCTATTGAAATATTCTTTATATTTCAGCACCTATTACTTTCTATTTTTTATTTTTTAAGCTATTTATTCAGCACTTTTTGCCCATTATTCTCTATCATGAAAACCCATCTAGACCCTCATGCACGAACAAGACAAAGCAAAAGTAAGGTAGGTAAGTATATCATACTGCGCATGCGACACCAGCCATATTAATTAATGATCAAATCAGGTATTCAGTTAAATTATGAAAGAAACGAATTTGGTATAAATTCACGAACAGCTAAGGGAAATATTGTTCACTGTCATTTGTAACATAGTCATTTGATTACGATGAAAGTTGTTTGTTTTGCAACTGGCCAATTTAAGATAGCGATCGCATGTTCTTTATTTTGAACCATGACTGTACAGTTTACCCGACAGTAATCGTGCTCTCTCGAGGAAGCAAATTAACTGTAGTGGACACCAGTCCTTCACTTTTCATTTGATACCTGAATAACTAGAATATATTCTACATAGTTTTATATTTACACCTATGCGTAGGAACTGTTTTGATTTTTGTTTTAAATATGTACTACTTTCAAGTATGCTCTTTTTTTTACCGGGCCCGATCTGGTGGTGATACATCGTACAAAGTCTATCCGAATCATTTTGCAAAGGTCTTAAACTTGCAGTGAGGCGAGTTTTTTTTGCTTCGTGTTGAAGGCCTCATTGTGACTTTGAGACGAAGAAAAGCAATAAAGGCGCTGTGTTCCTTTGCTTTTTGTTTTTTTGCTGTGCATGAACTGATTTTGTGTCATGGATGGATACCCCATATCCTTTGTTTTTCTATTATACAAAGTAATCCGGCGAAAAATCGAACCAACGGTGGAATGTGTCACCAAAAGAAATTAATGCAGGTATGTTTCTACTAAAACAAATGATAAAATATTATAATTTGGCCTCTTCCGTTGCATAAAACTCTTGATAAATGTATACCAAATGAAATAAAATATGGATATTGTTTACCTCGTTTTTATTTTTTAATAAATTAATTAGCTATATCAAATAAGAAAGCTTGACCTCCAAATTCGTTGCAAACCAATAATTGATTGGTTGTTTTATTAACATGTAGTGCATAGGGATCACACAGTCCGTTTTTACTAGTCAACAATTCTTTAGTTCTGTGACCGTCTGGTGAAATAAGAAGAACATTATTCGTTTCTCTCCCCGCTACGTAAATATTTCCATGGCTATCCTCGCCAATACCAAAGGGTTTTCGGAGATTCTCATCTGCATATTTCCATAATAAATCTCCATTCATATCGTAGCAATACACTTTATGGTCTTCGCAATTTGTGCAAAATATTTTTCCATCAAATAAAGCCACGTCTTGTATGTAATACCCAGAAATGTGTAGCCGACTTAAAATTTTTCCTTTTAAATTCAAAACTAGAAATTGACCTATATGGTTGAGCCTAACCACCAGTTTGTCTTCCACTCGGTCAATGCCATAACAAGGTGACGTCACATCAAAAGTTTTAACTATTTTACTACCTTTAACATCAATCAGCAAAACACTCTGATCGTCCCGAAGTGTGATTGCGACAGTATTGTTATCGATAATTGCGATGTCACGTGGTGAACTTGATAATTTCATCAGTTCTTTCGATCGACTTTGACTATCGGCGGATAACAATCGTCTGTTATCAAAATCAACAAACAATAACTGTCTATCATTTAAGATTTCGCATCCAGTTATCCCTGTTACGTTTTCGCTCTTAGGTAGCTGAATTCGTTGTTTTGGTATCAATTTAATTTTATCGATAGCATTGGACGGTCGAACGATTGTCTGTGCATGTTCACCTTGTAATGAGAGAATATTAAGGCATATTGGATTGTGATGATATGAAATTGTTCCGAACGAAAACGCATTCTTCATAAAAGACATTAATGTGGGGTCTACATTTAATTGTAAATTGAGGTCATCTAAACTTCCCGCTTCGTGTAGTTCTTCTAGGTACTGAACTCTTTCTGTAATGGTGTTCTCGATTTCGCTGACTATCATAAAAGTTTGAAAACCCGTTGCAATTTTCTTGATGATTTCTAAATCTCTTATGACACCGTTTACCATGCCTCTTTGGTTAACAATGTCAGATAATAGTGTCCCTGTTTTAGTTTTAGCTGCGACGTATTTTTCTTCAAGCTCTTCCTGTAAAGCGCCCTCTAACTTATCAAGACGCTGATTAATCACATGTCTTATATTGACAATCTCATCACACGATATTTTCCTATGCTTTTCCAACTTTTGAATATTTGAAATACAATTTTCGTAAATGTCATTTAAATTTTTTTGCACACTTTTAAGCTCCTGATCAATTTGCAATAATCCGTTTTCAGTTGTTGCCCTCTTTATCGCATCATGCAGTGGAATCAAGTTCCTGCAATCAACATCAGTTTCATTTACACATTTTACACAGCAAGGGTGCTTATGAAACGGGCAATAAAATTCGAACTTTTCGTTGTGATCAGAGCAACTATATCGCAGAGACAAGAAAGAGGGCGGTAACTTTTTGTAGTCTACTACTGTTATAGTTGTGTGTTCTCGTGATATTTTGGCCCGACTGTGGTGTTTGCTGCACTCAGGGCAAAGGAATTCTTCACAATCTGGACACCAGACGACAGCAATCACGTGACTCTCTACACATATATCACAGAAATGGTTTTGCATAGATGCCATCTCAACCCTTGAAATAAAACGATAGTAATTTAAGTCATACAATTCTGAAAAAAGTTAAAACTGGATAATATGCAATTGATTAAGGGTTGTGCCGTTAAGTGTTGCTTTAGATAATTCCGATTTGCCACATTTAAAACCTTTTTTACGTTAGACAAGTTTTATAGATCTATACAATATAGTTGTTGCCTAATTTTACTTTACAAATAAAGACGAAAACATAAAGTTTTATCTCCTGGTATCCATCTTCTATTATCATGATCATTATCATCTATACCCATGGATAGATGGGTGTTTATCATCCAGTGACCAGTTAATTAATGGCAATTAATGAAGCGGATGGTCATCTCATGAAAACAACATAAAAAGGAGTGCAGCTGAAGGGTCTTTAATCTTCCATTAAACACGGGGTGACAAGAATTGTGAACTTTACTGTAATTCACTAGGTTGAGGCAACCTAAAGTTAGAGAACGGAAACTAATTTTGGGACGTACATACGTACGTACGGACGGACGTATAGACGAACAAGGGTAACACTTAAAGCCCCCTCGGCTGGAGTGGGGGCATAACAATAGAGAAAAATGGGACAAACATATAAAGAATTGAGAAATAAATGGGGAATGTCCATGGGACACTTATGATGCCCCCGCTTGCATATCATATAAAGTTATAAAGGGACATAACTGAAGAACGGTAAAAGTGACGCTACCCAAATTTGTACTTGATCTGAGTTTTGTGGTAAGTGTAAGTTTCATAACATTTGGTTGAAGCTAACTTAAGTAAGAGTACAGAAACGAAAAATTCAGCATTTTTTCCATTTGTAAAGGAGCATTACTCTAGAGCGGTTAAAGTGACACCACTAAAATTCATACTTGATCTGTATTTTGTGGTAATAAGCATTGTGTATAAGTTTGATAATATTTGGTTGAGGCAAACTGAAGTCGAGAACGGAAACGAAAAATTCATCAATTTTTCCATTTGTAAAGGAGCATAACTCTAGAACGGTTAAAGTGCCGCCACTAAAATTCAAACTCGATCTGTATTGTATTGTAATAAGCATTGTGTATAAGTTTCATAACATTTGGTTCAGGCAAACTAAAGTTCGAGAACGGAAACCAACTTTGGGACGTACAGACGTACGTACAGACGTACGTACGGACGTACAGACGGAAAAGGGTAAAACTTAATGCCCCTTTCGCTACGGCGGAGACATATTATTAAAATTAAAGAAACACAAAATGAAGAACCCACAATGGCCATTCAGACCCTCATCTATTCCAGAGGACCGTATGTCTATCCCAAATGGTTTTTATTTTCGCTGTGTTGTTATGTTGCTAGCGCTGTATCATTGACTTAGACGTTAATCTCCTTTTATTCATAGTTCACTATCATTATCTCACCAGTGTCCCTTAAATTATGCAATATCATATATTACAACCAGATAACCTATGTCCAATAGTAAAATATGCAGTATACTTATTTTATCTTTAATAGTCAACATATGTAAAAATAAGGTGATGTGTTATGGTAATAAATGAGATAGCTACTGTATCAACTACAGGCATGTACGAGGGTCTGGAATTGTTATTATTCTTATTTTTTTTTATTTGGTGGGGGGGGGTCCTTCTTAAAGGTAACTTTTTTTTTTTTTTGGGGGGGGGGGGTCCTTTTTTTCTCTATTTTTTATTTGTTTGGGTTGATTTTTCTCTACATTTTGACCATTAGTTCCTATTATGTAAACCCCATCCAGATACTTATTCATGAGCATGCTATGTAAACAAGTACAAGTCTGTCAAAGATCCAAGATTTTGAAAATGTGGACATCAAGGCAATATTAGAAGCGAGACTTGTAAACTGTTTACGCCTCTGTAAGTCCCCGTATAACCTTCAACAATGAGCAAAGACATACACTGTATTGAAACCTATAATAAAAGCTTGGTACATTGCATTTTATAAAAATTCTATCATGAATAAAATGGAGTGTTAGTAGATTTGAAATTGTGAACAGTTTTGGATAAGGAAGACTCTTCTATCTTAAAACTTTATGCATAAGAGAGGCGAAAGATACCATGGATACCAAAGGGACATTCAAATTCATAAGTCATAAAAAAACTGACAATGCCATGGCAAACAACGAAAAACTGCAAAGAGACAAACAGTAAACAAAACACATCATAGAAATATAAATGTAGTTGTTAATACTAGAAAGGGGACGACCATTCAACTTCAAAAAAGGGGGGGGATTATGGTTTTTCTTAAAAAAAATATTCTGATCCCCAATTTGATGAAAAACAAATTTTGTGGTCAAGCAGATGACAAAAAAATATTCTGAATCCTGATTTTCCCCCATACCTTATAGTGTTAAATTTTGGGAAAAAAATAATAATTTGATTGATAGCGACGAAAAATTAAAAAAAAAATGTTCTGACTCAGACAAAAAAACTAAGGGGGTAGAGTAAATGAATAGAACATTACTTTTTTTCTTTCTTATTTCTTTATGTTATTGAAAAAAAAATAGTTTGTTATTGATTGGTGCGGAAAACAATTTAATTGTCCTGAAAAAAAAGCACCAATTCCCCAACATAAGATGATTTGTTGGTGTCTTACTCAAGACTTATTACACGAACCATGCTGTTGGTTTGTCTAGAAAACCTACATAAGTCCAGAATTTATCACATGCAAAATAAGTGCAATATCAGAACGTCTTGCTTGCTTAGGAAAAATGAAGTAACATAAAATTAGATCATACTATATCGTAAATTACAGTACTCTTACCAAATCGAACATCTTCTTTTTCTATTTTACATTTTAATATTGTAACAAACCGAACTTGAACCAGCATTTATTTTGAATAAATCGGATTAAATATTTAACTGCGCCTACGTTTTACCCCCACCACCCTTTTCTCAGTTTTGTGAGGTTTTGTTTTTAGCCTCTTTTCACTTATTTTTTTTCCCTATTCGATGCGATACTACAATGACAGCAGTTTACACATACCAGGGGTGGATCCAGCCATTAAAAAAAAAACATTTGTCCCCATTCAAAAGCATTGTCTAACTAACTAACTAACTAACTAACTAACTAACTACAACTAACTAATTTTATTCATTGTCAGATCGTAAAATAATAGGAAGTCCAACCACCGGAACCCACCCCCTCCTGGATCCGCCACTTGATGCTGCTCCTTAATTGATTCTTATTTTTCACTAATAAGAATAACGGAACAGCATATGACTGTATAGCGTTTTAAGCGAGAAATTTTCCATGCGTATCAAGGACCAGCACAAGTTTTATAACCACATTTTTTTACGTATATATATCTAATAGTTTTCTGCAGTGCTTCCTTCAAGTCAATATGTGTAGTATTGTAACCCGATAGCCTTCAAAAGGCACCACTTTACGTTTTTTTTTTGCCATGCGCGTGGAAATGAATGTGATTTTCGTGCTTTCGAAGATCTTTTCTATAAGAGGTTAAAACAATTTATTCCGAATTATGCAATATGAATTGATGTTCAAGGTCGGGTTGCTGAAATTATACAGTTATTTAATATGTAACTATGCAATAGATCAAAATATATTTCCCTCGGTATGATGATCAGCTCATTGTTCTATTGCCTGAAGCCAACGGCTGAGGGCAATAGAACAATGAGCTGATCTTCATACCGAGGGAAATATATTTTGTTACACCCCAGTTCTATTGTTATACTTCATAGTTTCTATTTCTGAAACAAGTGTAAATTGAATAGATCTATTGTTACGAATAACAAAGGATTTTGACCACAGGGTGTGACGAGCGGGGTTTCTGGAAACCCCTGCTTCTACATCCCGCAAACAAAGTCCATTGTTATTCGTAACAATAGAAATTGATTTTTTTTAAATAGCATGAACATAAGAAACTACTAATAGTGTTCACTACAAATTGTTTCAAGATATTAAAAAAACACATTTTAGGAAATTCCAATTGCGAAAAAAAATTAAGCATCTATTTTGAATACAAAAATAATCCCTTAAATACTCCTTTGCTTGAAGGTAATCTTTTTTATCCCAGTCATATGTCTCTATTCTAAAGCATTGGTCTTTTTAAAAAAATGGGGATTCTAACTCCCGGGACCCCCCTCCCCCGGTTACCCATTGGCCGATCTGGGGGTGGTGGTTCCGCGGTTTGGACCCGACTTTTATTTAAAAGATCAATGCATTTGAATGGTTGGACCCCCCTTTTTTTCTCTTGAGTTGGGAACCCCAAGCTGGATCAGCCCCTGTTTGCCCCCAAAAAGGGAGTTCCTAAATATTAAATCTGTATCTTTGTATGTTGAGCGTGTCTGATAGTCGGGTCACACATATATATCCCTTAGTATGTCCGAATATGAATGTTTGTTTATTTTGAGATGAGGGGGTGTGGTTATAAAACCGTAAGATAACCCTCTTGTGTGTGTAATTTGTGCTTTAATAAATTTATTTATAAAATACAGCTATGATTACCTTTATTACACTGATACAGGTAAGTACTTTGGGTTATAATATAGCCTTTATCTTAAGTCTCTTCTATCAAATCCAACGCTTGCCACAAAATGTCGTCCGTCTTATACCCGTCCATATTGACAACTGCATACAAGGAGCATGATGTATTTTTTGTTTGTAATAAGAATACACGAAACGGTCAACCTTGACCCGCTGATCCATTTTAGCACATGGATTTAACGGGAATATGCAAAACAACTTTGACATTTGTAAAATATACTCACTTGTCAAAGTTTGAACAAAGATACCCTAAGAAAGGTTACTAGTGGGGTTTCATGTAATAAAAAAAAATTCTTATAAATCATGGTTTGATATTGTCAATAAATATGTTATCGGTTTTTTTTTCATTTAATAATCAATGTTAACAAATAATGGGTTTAGAATGGGGTGTAAGTTAGTTATACACCTCGGGATACGGCGTGTCTGGATAAGAAACCCCTCAGGCCTCCGGCCGACGGGGTTTCTTATCCAGACACACCTATCCCTCGGTGTATAACTATTACATATATTGCACTGTTACACATTCAATAACTGTTTTATTACCTAATACATACTGAGTCAGTTCTAACAAATTCTTAGAAATAAAACACATGAAAGTAACAACTGTATTAATTATAATGTGTAAGGAGCATACATGTACAACCAAAACAATAAACCCAAGAACGTTTAAAAGACCCAATTTGATTGGACAACATGAATACCTTTCAACTAATCAGATTTCAGAATAAGAGGTCATAACAGGTCAGTGCAATAGACTGCACACAGGTGCAATAGAACGATAATTTCCAGTGCAATAGACCATGGAACAAAAAATGGCAGAAAAATAGCAAATAATATAGAAATATTAATAAAACAGTAAAATACTCTTTATAAGGTAATAAAATTAAATATTGTGTTCGATAAATAAGATGAAACATTTAAAAAAATATCTACTTCAAAACTAAACGGATACAAATATGGACGAAGCAAAATACAAAATATATAACACAATGAGACGACTATCACATATTTTAACACTTTATTTGATTTTTTTTATTAAATTTGTTTTCATAGTCAGAGTCTTTCACTTGATAAATATGTGTTCAATGTTGTACATTAATTGAGGAAAGCATCGGGCAAAATATTCCTCTGTAGGTAATACAAGGGCGAATCAACTTAGCAACTTATAAAGAGAGAGGAAAATTGAAAGAGTCTCGGTATTATTATTTTTTAGTCTTCGTTTTGGTGAAATAATTATACCCAGGAAAGGCGGAGATTCAAAAATTTTCAAATCATCGAAGTTTCCCATGGATACGCACGCAACATTTGTAATATAACCTCAACAAATATTGATTAATACGAACTGAAATGCTCAATGTCAGCAATACACCGCGCAAGATTTGACCTTTAAAAGTTTTAACCCACGTGTATACATTAAAATCTCAATACTCACAACGTCGATTTTTATATCAATCCGTCTTGCTTGTCGTATGTCTTTTGTTGTTAGGATATGACGTTCTTTATTGTAACGTCATTTTATTGTTTAATATAAACACAATTGATCTCATCTTTAATTCTAATATTCTAGGTTGAGCGTTCCTGGTGAAGGTAAATTCAGAAAAGCGCGTCAGACGCACCAAATTCTAATAAGTTTTATTCCATGTTCATTATCAATGTGAGCAGTAAATTCAAATATTGAACTTCAAGGAAATTAGACATTTTAGTCGATCAACTGTTGTTTAGAAATTTGCACCTATCCTACTGCAAGTTTTACAAATATGTCTCACTGTGATATCAGTATTGATATCTCCAAAGGGATTTGGTATAAAATCAGAAATAGTGATTTGGTAATAAATCAGAAATAGTAATTTGTCATCATAGCACATGTGAATTTCGGAAATAAAAATGTTGAATTGTCCACAATTAAAGAGAATGATAAAAAAATAACTCGCATATTCACTAAATGGGAATAAAATAAATGTTTATTCATAAATAACGTCTTTATAAAAGACAGAAAAAAAATAATCTGATACCTGTATTCTATTCACCAAACGGTTAGCAACTTGTTAATGTATAAAACCTAAAAATAAACAGCTGCGCAATGAGCGCATGACACGCCCGTCGTCTTGTGTGTGAATAATCATAAATAGTTTCTGACATACGGCGCGACATGCAAAAACCACCCTTTTTTCCAAAAACTCAATATCTCTAAAATAAAATTTTGAATCAAAACCAAAAAGTATACAGATCTTAAGATTAATATAACTAAGAAGTGTGTAAAATTTTAAGCAATAGTCATAAATCGTTTTTGAGATACGGTGCGACATGTGAAAACCCCCCTTTAAAAAAAAAATCAATACATATGTATCTCTAAAATGAAATTTTGAATCAAAACCAAAAAGTATACAGATCTTTAGATTAATATAACTAAGAAGTGTGTAAATTTTCAAGCAATAATCATAAATCGTTTTAGAGATACGGCGCGACATCTGAAAAACCCTCCCCTTTTTTTACAAAATACTCAATAACTCAAAAATAAAATTTTGAATCATCACCAAAAAGTATACAGATCTCAAGATTAATATAACTAAGACGTGTGTAAAGTTTTAAGCAATAATCATAAATTGTTTTTGAGATACGGCGCGACATGTGAAAAAAACACACACCTGTTTTAGTTACTAAGTCCCGTAACTCAAAAAGTTTTAATCTTATTTTCACCAAAGAGTATACAGATCGTTTGACCATCATAAGAAACAACTATGTCAAGTTTCATGAAATTTGGATAAGTCGTTCTCAAGTTACGGTGCGACATGTTTACGCCGGACAGACAGAGGACAGACGGACAGACGACATTTGTATACCATAATACGTCCCGTCAAAATTTTGACGGGCGTATAAAAATTACAGAAATTGAATCCGACACATATGTTTGTTTCTCGTGATCGTATATTGTAGAATGCGTTGTGTTTATGAAGTGGAAAAAGACGTGTTTACACATAGATACCACTAGAAAACAAAAAAAAAAAAAAAACGCGCGAGCGTGGCTTTAAGACTACTTGAAATATTTAATGGTGATACATAGTCTGGGTTCGTGTTTCTCAAACTGTTTTATTCACTGATGCCGTATGTTGATATTTTTTATAAGTTTGTCAGTTCTTCTTCCATAGGAGTTTGAATGTCCAATCGGTGTTACACAGGTGCCCCTAGAACGGAGGAAATACTCAGAGAAGAAGGAAACAACCTAAAACACTGATGATTAAAACTTTTCTCAATGGTGCTAGTTAGTAGTATTTCTTTTTTTTTTTTTTGTGAAAGGTGCGAGTCAAGTTCTGTCTCTGTGTTTTACGGGTGCTCCAATAACGAAGGACATAACTAAGAGAAGACAATCTAGAACTCTGATAATTTAAAACATTTCTTCATTGGTGCGAGTTTGTAGTATTTTGTGGTGCGAGTTCTGTCTGTGTGTGACACGGGTGCTCCGAGAAAGGAGGAATTTACTATGATTAGGAGCAAACAATATAATGATTAAACACATTTCTTCGAGTTTGTTATATTTCTTTTTTTTTTATTTTTTTGAGTGGTGCGAGTTTGATAAAGTCATGCAAGTTGTAATAATTAGTGTGTGTGTGTTTGAGTGGGGCGAGTTGGCCTAGGGCCGAGTTGTCATAAATTCAAGACAAATTGAATACAAAACCATTTTCGCCTGCTTACAAAACGTAGACGGCAAGGAACCAGCTACGGAACTTTATTTGGGGTTTAATTAACTAAGCTACGCTAATTAAAGCAATTAGTATATGACGTTATAAAGTACATTACATACACTAACTATTTATTAATATGAGGAAGGCGCTACCTTAAATGCCAGCTTGATACCAAGACTATGTCCTATATCTTGATTGATTGTTGGGTGCTTAACGTCCAGTGGCAAATATTTCATGCATGTTCAGGACGAATGTCCTACATATATATAGTTTTTGTCTAAAATAAGATAATAAGTTCAGATGGAAAATGTTTAGGAAACGATCATTGAACTTCAAAAGGCAGGAGGGGGTATATGGTATTTTACTTTAAAAAAAATATTCTGATTCCCAAATTGATGAGTAAAAAAATATTCTGTTCAAGCAGAGGACAAAAAAAAATATTCTGAATCCAGATTTTCCCCCATACACCTTATCACTATTTGTCCGCCATTACTGGACATCACACAGGTTCCCGTAAAATTTTGACGTCATAATACAAAATATCTGACGCCACAATGGAAAAGTAATTGTTGTATGACGTCAATAGTTCAAACGGGACAGATTCTCGGGTCAGCCGGGAATAGCTATAAGGTGTATACCTTCTAGTTTTCATGAAAAGGTGGAGGATTTGGAATATCTTTTTCTTCAATATCTAAAAGTTGTAGCTGTTTTTTTTATTTAGTATTGCAAACAACGCTTTCTGTTGTTGAATTATTTTTACTTTCTAAATTAGCTGGTTGTTCATATTGTATTCCAGGTTTCCTGCATCTCATATATATGTGATCAGCAAGAGGATCATTCTGATTGTTAAAAGAAGAGTTTGAATTTACAGTGAGCCTGTTTAGAAGAATGTTTTGATCAGGTTTTTCATTTTGATCTAAGCAGAAGGAACCATAAATAGGATTGTTAAGTTGATAATCTAAAGATTTTGCTATTTTCTGGGATGCTATTTAAAATTTGAGGGGAGAACACTGCTCAGCAGTATAAATGTATTCCTGATCATCTTCTGTTTGTGGGTTTCTACATCAATTTCATGTACTAATTCAGAGTCAGTTTTATGTCATTTTTGCATTTTGTTTTATTAGCTTACTTTTCAAGTTTTTATACGACGGCAAAATAAAATTGAGAATGGAAATGGGGAATATGTCAAAAATTTGCTTTCGAGTAATGCTATCATGTTGCTGTTGTTGTCAGAAGACACATTTGGTTTCCGGACAATAACTTTAGTTTAATAAGTAAATGGATCTCTATGACAATGTATGAAATTGTACCAGAAGGTTCAATACACAAAAGGAAGGTTAGAATTGATTTTGGGGGTTATCATAATTATTGTACCAACAGTTAAGGAGTCAGTGGTCAAAAACAACATTTTTGGGTTGTTTTTTCCATCATTTTTGTTTTTTTTCTCAAAAAATTTACCATTTTAACATTGATTATTTCTCATTTATATATAAATGCAACAAATACAGATTTGGCAGGTGATACACACGAAACAGGGTGTGTAAATTATTTTATCGGTAATTTGTGCATTTTTTTCTTTGATGTGTACTTCTTGATAATGTCAACGTCAGTATCAGTGAACTGGTCATGATAAAGAAAATATATTGGATCAGTTCGCAATTGACACGCACGAGTGCATCGCAAAAGGATCTTCTTTCCCTTTAATTCACAAAATTGCACATGATTTTTTTCGCAGAAACGCACAAGTTATTTTATGAATGAAACACTTGTCATTGTTTTAAACTTTCAGTAATCAGTTGGTAATAAAAAGTTAGTTTAGCCTTTTTGAATGATTCACTGATTGTGTGAAAATTTGAACAGAAAATGTACAATAACCCACAGTGATAAAATTGCGTTATCTGCAGAATTATTGATAGCTTTCCTTACTATTCACTAGGACATATAACTAACATATCGTCCATGCTATTCCGATCTGAGTTTTTATTCATACATAGTCTGGCATGGCTGGTGCTGTTCCAAGTTGTCTTCTTCTCTGCATGTTTCTTGAGAAGTATTTGTTTGACCTGGTCAGTCACTATAAAGTGTTACAATTCATATTTAGACGCAACACATAAATAGTGACCAAAAAGGTACCGCTTTCACATGTATGACATGAGAGAATCTAGAAAAAAAATTAAATGTACACATTTTCAACATTTTTGTGGGACTATCATGCATATAAAATTAAGGAGATATGTACTTGGAGACTGCTGCTGAATAGAAATGTTCGGGCTCACATGATACCCGTTTTCAAATTAGTCCATATTAAAGTTTGAAGGGTCCAAAATTAAAATATGTTTGATTTTAACTGACATAAAATATTTGGCGTTTTTAAATATGCTAAATCTACATCTGTGGTTGTATCAGGCTGTGCTTGGCGAAGCATTTTATTGCTTTTTTGTTTGTACTTTATTTTATTTTGGTCATGAAAATTAACTTGTAGTTGTGAAGTTGCTAACATTTTTAAAAGATGATAATTAGATAACTTCGCATGGTGACGACACTGACGTTTTCGTAGATTTACTTTTTCCCGGGAATGCTTCATCTGTTGATATATTCTCATTGTGAACGATTTGTGTATATCTAAATATATTAACCTATGTTAAAAGACATGTATAATGTCAAATCATAACAATACAAATTGTTTAGTCTCAAAGAAAACTTGTAAGATTTTTTTTGTTGAATAGGTGCAAATTGGGTACTCGGTGCAATTTGGGAACTGTGACGTTATAGCCATAAGTGTTTATTGCTTTAATAGGTTAAAA